AGGTGAAAGAACCCCGAGGGGGCCCGGCGGGTGCGCGACAAAGGGAGGGCCGAGCCGGGCAGAACGGTTGCCGTCGGGAAGCTGTAGGTGTCATTCCGATAGTGCGATAGGACCGCTTCCCGCCCTTCTTTCCCTGACTCTGACTTGCAGATGTATGGTTAATACCTATATCGCGTTCGCGTGAAAGCCAGATTGGGCGATAGAAAGTCGGTGTGGAGCCCCAGCCTCCCCGAGACTCTACAGAGGGGTGTTTGGGGGTGACTGTATCCTGCCTTTCTCACAGAAGTAGCTTAAACTTGAGGGTTTTTTTCGCAGTTGGATCCCGTGGGAGAGCCCATTCCCCACCTGAAGCTACACTAACTTTAGTCTGAGTGTACGTGCACAGCTAATGGATATGCCCACCCCGTTGACAGATCGATAGAAACATCTTAGCCTTTTTGTAGGCTTGTTTCTTAAGCATCACGCACTGCTGGTTTGTAAAATATATCTGTTCCTGGAGGAGCAATTCACCTTGGAGAGAACCTACATGCCTGACTGACATAAAATTGGGTTGGATAATAATTAACCTTGTTTCTGCACTGTCTCATCATAATTATATGATTTTTGCTTGCTGACTGAGACTTTGGAATTTCTTCCAAGTATTCTTCAGAAGTGTAGGTTGCAAAATCTTTGCAAGGAAAGCTGGGAGAACTTAAATTAACAGCTAGTTAGTAAATACGGCAGGTAGGAGACAAATCTGTAAGAATCATTACTTAGGTATTATGTTTAACATTTTGATGCCATTTCAGGTATCTGACACACTGTTTATTCCAGAAATAACGTATTAGTTGTTCTGATTTAAAAGCTAAATAAGTAGTCAGAGATGTTGCAGGCTCATATTATGGGGATATACATAAAAAGATTCTTTCAAAACTTAACATTTCAAATAAATTTCAAATCCATCACAAAAAAAAAAAAGTAGAAAGATTTGTTTGTTAATTTGAAGTCATTAAGCAGTATTTTAAAACTGTAGAAATAAGGTTAGGAATGGTTTCCTCAGTAGATCTAGTTATTTTTTTATTTGAGTAAAACTGGGAAAAGGCATTGATAATCCTACTTTAATAAAACCAACCTTCCTGTTTTAAGACTTTGTAATCTTTTTAGGTTCTCATACTTTCTTAGCCAAATAGCACTTTGTAGAAAGAGAACGTGTAGAATACATGCAAAACTGTCTCCATGAAGTCACAGAAATAGCTGTGGTTTTTTAGGGGTGGTTGCTGTTTTAAACACCTAATAAGCATTTTGTCCTTCTCCTTCAGCTTAACCCAAATGTAAGTGTATTTCAGAGAAAATTTGTGAATGAAGTAAAGAAGTGTGAAGAAATGGAAAGAATACTTGGTGAGCTGTCCTTTCATGTCTGCCCTTTCTCATCTGTGCTATTATTAAAGTTTACTAGTGGTTAGAGTGGAACTGCAGTGGAGGTTTCAGCTACAGATTTTTTTTTTAATCTTCGCAGTCTTGTATGATCTGAATGCTGTAGAATCTTATCAAACTTTCATATGTTTGAAGAAATACACAGGCATACATTCGTATGTAGAGTCTTTAGGTAGTTTTTTGGAGCCAGAGATGACTTGACTGTAGCACTAAATTGGGTCAGAACATACAAATACATTCCTTAATTTGTGTTGATATGCTGCAGCAGTTTTGAGCATATCACAGAATCGTTTAGGTTGGAAAGGACCTCTGGAGATCACTTAGTCACAACCTCCAGCTCAAGCAAGGGCAGCTAGAGCCGATTGTCCAGTACTCTGGTGGGATTTTGAATATGGAGATTCCACAACCTCTCTGGGCGGCCTGTTCCAGTGTTTTACCACTGATCTCGGTTTCTTGGTTTTGTGAGCTGTAAAATTCACTTACACCACAACATATATGTGCTAAATATAGGTTGGGGGTGTTTAAGTGCAGAGGTGAAGAAGAGTTGCTAATGTGTTGCTGATAAATAGTTGAGACTATTTTTGTATTAACTGCTTAAAACACTGCTAGGGGAATGGAAGCTTTACTCTGGGTATTTCCTTGACTATAAGATAAACCCTGCTTTTCATGTTATGTGATTCAATGCTGTTGAACTTGCAAGCACCCTCAAAAATATCTCAAGTTAATAATAATTTTATTCACATGGTAGTTAATGAATAGAGAAGGGTATGCAGAGCCTTACGACCAAGATGCAGATTTTTTCAATGTATCCCGAGGAAAAGTTACCATTGAAGGATTCTTTTTATTGGAATCTCATCAGAGGCATGTGCTGGTCATGCCAAACCATCCCAGTAGCTATTTCAGCAATCTCCCTGCCCAGTGTGAGTTGCATTTGTTGTCAAGGTTGCTTAAGCTGCCTTGTTTGAATGCTCTTTATTCCAAACATGGGTCAATGAGCACAACATCAATTTTTGGCAGATGGCGTGATTAGCAGAAAGTGATACCTTGCAGCAACAAAGAGATACTATGAAATGTTAAAACGCTTCTTAAAAAGTACTTGTGGTTGGAAAATTTCAGTCAGAGGACTCTGAAGATAGCTTACTTCTGCAAACTTCCAAGACAGAAATGTTCTGTGTATTTTACTCCTAGCACTCCATAAGCCCCCCCCCCCTTTTTTTTTAAGACTTGTGTGTGTGTTGTCGCTAAAATAAATGAATAAAATAGCTAGGGCCTGATGCTGCAGTGTGATCAGCACCATGAATAACAGCTGAAGGTCAACTATGCAGCATTCTAGGAAGTATAAGGCAATACTGTTTCCTTTCTGATTCCGTTTTTCTTCTCACTCCAGGATATTTAGTACAAGAAATTAAAAAAGCGGATATTCCACTTCCTGAAGGAGATGTTGCTCCTCCTGCCCCCTTGCTGAAACACATTTTAGAAATCCAGGTAACTTTTCCATACCACAGATGCCAAAGGTGTAGCTCTGGGTCTTGGAACTTTATTTCAAACTTAATTACTTGCTATCTTACTATTTATGACTTAAATTATAGGGGTGTGGCAGGGGGAGCAGAAGCCTTTGCTTTCGTTTTTGTCCATTTTTTTTTTCTTTCTGCCAGTGTTACTTCAAATACTGCCAGTGAGGATTTGATACTGACACAAAATTGCTGTGAAAGGGTCAAAGCTAACTTGTAGTCATCTGTTTTATTTTGATGGATTGGCATATTACGCTATTCCAGGCAAATTGTCATCTGTAGATGTAGTCCTTCAGCCTCATTTATTGCTTTGGGACTTACCTAAGGCTCTTTGTTTAGCAAAACATGGTGCTATTTTCTCTGAATGCCTTTTCTGGTATTGCGTTAGAAGTAGAAGCTTGTAAAATGCAGATATAATTTTGAATGACATTGTTTTGCTGTAATTCTGTTAATAGCATAGATAAGTGTCTTGCACCTGTACTATCTGAAGTTCTAATTCCAAGTCTGCATTACTTAGCTTGGACACAAATTAGGGTCAGAACAGCAGACTTAACAGATGCCAGTGGAGGATCAACTCAACAAAAAGCAATCTTTGGAAGACTGAGGAATAAAACCTATGGAGCTTAAGTTAATTAAGAAATCGGGAAACTCCCATCATAGCAGCAATTAATATATGCTTAAAATTAATCTTCCCCTGATTTCCAAAAGAGTGTAACTGATTCTATGTCTCTTTTTTTCTCCGTGTCTTAGGAACAGTTGCAGAAGCTGGAGACAGAATTGAGGGAAGTAACTAAAAACAAAGAAAAGTTGAGAAAAAACCTGCTTGAACTGACAGAATACACGTGCATGTTAGAGGTCACGCAAAGATTTGTCAGGAGAACAGCTGAGGTACTGCTTATGTTTGAGGATTGTGTGTCATGTGGCATTTTTGCTGCATACTGTTAGTAGTTCTAGTTAAGTGCATGACTCTGTGTCAGGCTTTTACAGCATTGTATGTTGTTCTTTATTATTTGTGTTCGGTACCTAGAGAACCTGGCTGGCAACCTTTTGCGCTAGGCTGTGCATATACAAAGCAAAATGCAGCCCTGAACTTAGAGGAGCTTTGTGATTTCTCTGTTGAATTGTTTGAATGTTACTGCTGATGCCAGCTGGAAGTGAGGGTGTATTTGTGTTATTTTGATGCATAAATTGTGCTAAGAAATTTATGTAACCTTTGCAACACTGACTGTATTTGCTAAGAGCAGTGCACCTGAGATTCCAAGATTTTTCTGTTGTCTGAATTGAAAGGATTTTATATTTTTATTGAAATAATTTACTTAATTAGCTTTTCTTCACTAGGATAATGAATGAAAATACATTTTTTTTTCTGAAAGCTGTGAATGATCTTTCTTTCTAGGATAATGAATGAAAATACATTTTTTTCTGAAAGCTGTGAATGATCTTTCTTATTTTTGCTAGTACGAATCCCATTTACATGCAAATTATGAAGAATTTCCATCTGTGGAAAGTGAGCCATTAGTGGATTACAACTGTATGCACAGACTGGGTGCCAAGCTGGGGTAGGTATGGTTCACTCTGCCTGTGGCAGGTTGTCAGCGTGTGCTGTTTCAAAACTGCTTGATGAGCTGCTGTGAATAATGGGCTCTTTGCTTAAAAGATGGAATCTAGCGTGATTCTAGTGATTTCAGGTGAGCCAAACAGTTTTAGACAAGGTAGAAGTCTGGCCCAAATGTACCTTTGTAACAAAATTGGATTACTTGAAGAGAGAAGTAGGACAGCACCAAAAAAACTGTTACAAAAATTCCATCAAACCAAGTATGTGTGTTAAGGAAAATCTCTAAGTGCTGTAAACCAGTACTTACTTCTACTGTTCAAACTCTTGTTTTTTCTAGGATAAACACACAGTGTTTTAATCACCTGGCAGTGTCAGTTGTAAATGTAACATTATGAATGGTATTGCCTACTTGCCTTTAAAATGATGTATGGATACTGCTCTCTGCAACGCCATTATGAGAGCGTATCTTAGCAAGAAAAAATGAAGAACCTTACTATCACAGAAATAAAGTCAAATATAATTCTAGTTGTGTGCTGAGGCCTACAGTCTGTTTTCCAAATAGAAATTGTCTCTCTATTTTATATAAGAGTAACTTCCTGTTTAGGGAGATGCTTCCTTCTGTAGGGATGGCACACGTTAAAGTATTGTGACACTCTGATCCTGAGTGCTGATGTACTCTTTGAGGTGGTTTGTTGGGGTTTTGGGTTTTTTCTGGTGGATTTTAGCTTATTTTTCAATTTTTTTCTTTTTTCATAGCTTCATATCTGGCTTAGTTAACATAGCAAAAGTTGAAGCATTTGAAAAAATGCTGTGGAGAGTCTGTAAAGGATATACTATTCTTACGTACGCAGAGTTGGATGAATGCCTGGAAGATCCAGATACAGTGAGTAAACATTGTAACTATCAGTTTATTTTGTTCCATACTTTTCATAAGACTTGGAAGAATTGCTGCTCAGGTCTGCAGTGAATGTAAATGATTTCCCAGTGCCCTCGGAGGGGAAACTATTTTAAAGTATCAGAACTTTTAAGACTTCAAAATTAGAGATCTTGATGCTACCATAATTATAGGAGTGGCAATTTATTTATTGTGGTTCACCTTGATGAGTGCAGAATTTTACTGTGGAATAGTAGTGGCTTTATGATTGGCTACCTTGATCAAAATACGTGGCATAACTGGCTGCTTGGATATTTATTAACTAGGTCCATACAGTGCATTACCTTTTAATAGTCATTTTATTTGTTCATTCAGTAGTTAAGGAAAAAAAAAAGGTTGCAGTACAGTTGGTCTTCTATGAAGGTTTTTCCTCTGAACTTATAAAATTCACTTTATGTAAATCAGCAATTATGGCTGCCTAATCTGTCACTTCCAAATTTTGCTTTGGTTCTAATTTGTAACATTTTAATTTTTTAAGACCTTTTTTGTTACTGATAATTCTGAGGTGATAAAATATAATATCTCTTTCATTTTCCCTGAAAACTCTTTTTCTCTAATATACAAAAAAAGAGAGATACATTGGCACACTTGAATTTTATTTTTTGATCTTCACTAAAATATTGGAAGGCTAATGCTACCAACACAGCTTTTTCTAATTATTTAAACTTGTTATTTTGCTCTATAATTATAGTGGAAGATTTGGTTAAAAATAAGCTTCATCAACTTAACTTTTTTTTTTTTAGGGCGAAACCACAAAATGGTTTGTTTTTTTAGTGTCCTACTGGGGTGAACAAATTGGCCAGAAAGTCAAGAAGATTTGTGACTGGTAAGAAGCAAAACTGATATATATAATTTCTTTATACTTGGGTTATTTTCTTGTTAATTTTCCTCCTGCTACCCTTCCTTGTAAGTGCTGATTTTTAGGCAAGGTTTTTGAAGTTAAATTTGTTCCTCCCCCCATTTGCATCTAGCTTTATAATTATGCAACATACAAATAAATGTATGAGTCATTTTATGTGCAGTCCTTATTAAGTACAGGCAAAATACTGACTCTCTCAGTTGAATCTGTTCCATGGTTCTTAAATGGTTTGTTGCAGATTTGTCTAGGGCATGGGGTTGGGTGATTTGTTTTGGTTTAGTTTGGTTGTTTAACACAAACTTCTGTTTTTCTGTAGCTATCACTGTCATGTGTATCCCTATCCAAATACCACGGAGGAGCGCAAGGCAGTTGTTGAGGGACTAAATGTTCGTATTCAGGATCTTCATACTGTGAGTAAATAACGGTGTTCCCTTTGCTGTAGTTATTGCACCATAGGAAATCATTTTATGAATCACAGCATTAAACACAGTTACATTTCTAAAATACTTTGGATCAGAACACGACTGTACATCACGTCCCTGGTTTTGTGTTGCATGTGTCTATTAAACTTCAGGGCACTTGGCATTGCCTTCTGTTTTAGCCAGTGGTTGCGTGCCCTCCTACAAATGTGATCCAGCACTGGACAAATACTAGGTACTCTTACTGTGGTTAGCATAACCACTGTTACATTTTCAATGAAATCTTTTTGGTTTTTTTCTTGGACAAAGGTGCTGCATAAAACTGAGGATTATTTACGCCAAGTCTTGTGTAAAGCATCTGAATCCATCTATACATGGGTTATCCAAGTGAAGAAGATGAAAGCCATTTATCATGTACTCAACCTGTGCAGTTTTGATGTCACAAATAAATGTTTAATTGCTGAGGTTTGGTGTCCAGTGGCTGATCTGCAGAATTTGCGCCATGCCTTGGAGGAAGGTTCAGTAAGTCAGCTGAATGCTCACTGATGTTAAAACTTTTGTCTTGAACTAACTATACAGCTAAGGAAAGAAAATAATTATTTAAAATAGGCTAAAAGTAGGCAGAGGCAGGTCTGGGTCTCTATGAACTCATATGAAACAACTTCTTTGTCAGCAGAACCTTTATTTAGTGTTGTGTTGGTTCTTTGTTGTTGGTTGATAGGTGTGTTTGGCGGTTTTTTCTTTTTTTCTTTTTTTTCCTTTTTTTTTCCTTTTTCCTGAATAAGAACAACTTCTGTCTTGGGCCGAAGTCTGACTGGGCTCACAATACTATTTGCAGTCAGTCAAGTAGAAGGTGCTAATTCCCTTGTGTTAGTTGAGTGCAGCTCCATCTTTTTGTTTTACAAGAGGGAATTTTTACTAACAAATACTTGTTTTATAATATTGACTGATGATTCTCATTTGGTATTTCATATAAAGTAAGGATTAGAATGCATCACATGATTAATGTTTTTAGAGGAACAGATTATTGTAATTTTTTCTAAGAAGGTACAAAGGGTAAACTTGGGGCTTAATTTAGGGAAGTTTCAAGGATCAGTGAAACTCCTGATAGAGAAAATGGTTTCACTTTGATTAGATTAAGGATCAACTGAGTTTTTATGTAAACATATCTTCTTTCTGTCTGCAATTAGAGGAAGAGTGGAGCTACAATTTCTTCATTCATGAATACCATCCCAACAACACAACCTCCTCCAACTTTGATACGTACCAATAAATTCACCTCAGGGTTCCAGAACATCGTTGATGCTTATGGAGTTGGAAACTATGGGGAAGTTAATCCAGGTTGGTCCTTCTGAAATCTGACCTGCAAGCTGTGCTGTTGTTACTGCTTGCCTCGTTACATGTTTAAAGACCTTGCTAAATTGGACACTAGTAAAGGCAAAACAGTGACAACCATATTGCTTGTTAGTAGCTGTTTTTAAATTTCAGTAGCTCATCAAAAGTAGAAATGGTGCTCCAAGCAGTAAGATGGGATTTTATTTTGCTGAGTTATTTTAGCATTAAAGATACTGATAATAGCTGTATAATGTTTCTTGATATGCTTTACCTTGGATTAAATAAGATATTCAAGGGGGAAAAAGAAAACTTTGGTAACGGCTATTGATTTTACTGAAGTGTGGAGTTCATCACTTGAAAAAAATCTAGCTTGTTGTATAGCCCAGTTTAACGTCCTTATGTATTTTTTGCAGCTACGTTGCCTATGTCATGCTGTACAGGAGAATGTCTGTTAGAGTACAGAGCCGAAATAGTCACAGAGGAAGAACTGTTTGCTTGCGTTTTATTATCCTCAGAATTGTTGGCTATTGCTCAACTGTGGAGTTGTCATTACTAAGGGATATACATATGCAAGCTTTAAACTGAGTTAAATGTATAGTGTGGGGGAAAGGTCTATCAGCAAGAGGTGAAAAGTCTTTCAAACGTAAAGCTGAAAATTGTTTGGGAGATTCAAGTAGTTGAATTGCTTTGGCATAATTCAGATAGCAATATCATCTACTGTGCTGTGTGCCTGAAGTCTGTTATGTTGTCATTTCAGCTCTCTATACCATCATCACTTTTCCCTTCTTGTTTGCGGTTATGTTTGGAGACTTCGGGCACGGTCTACTAATGTTCATATTTGCACTCCTGACAATACTGTATGAAAAACACCCTAGATTACAAAGGTCACAAGATGAGGTAAAAGGAATTACAAATAACTTACTCCCCATCCAGCAAGATAGTTTCAATTGACTAGTTACTGTGTTTCTGAAAAGTACTGTTTATTGCACATGTTATTAGACTGTTTTTTTCTTTTGTTGCAGTTGCTATATTCTGTGAGAATACTGTGATATCTTAGAAACTTCACTTTTTTCAAAGGGCAGAAATAATCAAGTTGGAATGAAAGACTGGCAAAAACTAGTTGATGATGTTGGGCTTGTCTTTCCTTCTACTAGGGTGGCTTAGTGATGTGTGTGTTTTACAGAATGTGGTTACAGTGACTAACATGAGGAGAAAATGATTTTTCAAATTCCATCTCCTTTTATTGTTTCTGAAAAGGAGTTGTAGTCTGAAATTTATTAAACTTAATTTTAACTAATTTTTTAATGATATGGGATTGGAATGCAGGAATACCTGCATCTCTCATTAGAATGATATGTAATTAAGAATGGCTGCAAATTAGTCTTGGGGAGGAAATGTGACTTAAAGACTATTCATTAGTGTAATGTTACCAATGAGAAAAGTCTCAGTTTGTGTCATGGGAGACTTCAAATCTCTGCATCCAATTTAAACCACAATCGTCTTTCAGAATATGCTTCTTGCTCTTTGCTTTATTTCCTAATGCATATAAACCTTTGCATATAAATCACTTGCATAAAGCTGTGAATGGAGGAAGATGAATTGCACCCATTTGGTGACCGACATTTCTAAATTGCATAGTCATCTGATTAAAGCAAAATTCTCTGTGCTACATCTTGATTGGCCTTAGGTTTCTTCATATTCCTTTAAGACTATCCAAAAGAGTTTTTAGAAGTCTTTGACCAAAAATGTATTTCTCTTAGAAATGTGTAGATAATGATTATTTACATAGCAGATGATGTTCTTTATTTTTTTCTTTTTTTCCAATACTCACAGATAATGAAAATGTTATTTGAAGGCCGATATGTTATTTTATTAATGGGTCTCTTTTCTGTATACACTGGATTGATCTATAATGACTGTTTTTCAAAGTCATTGAATATATTTGGTTCTGGATGGAATGTTTCAGCAATGTTTGAACAGAAGGTTTGGCGGTGAGTAGCATGCCTCTATACCATTAAACCAAAAACATACTTCCTGCAACAGTTTAACCCCTTTGCTCACCCATTTTAACCATCCTTTTAGTGAAAGTAGTAAGTAAATGTAATGAAATCTAGCAAAATTTAGTTGTTAAGGCAGTAAGTGCTAGTGTGTAAAGGGCCGATACAGCCACACTTAGAATAAAAAAGGCAATAATAGTTATTTAAAAACAAAAAAACCTGCTAATTAGCTTAACCTGGGAAATCCACAGAGAACACAATTTCTTGCAAAACCACTATTGAAGTTTGATTATATTTAATTCAGTCAATCAGGTTAATCTCGTATTTATCAGTGCTGCTTTACTGGATTTACATGTCCTCAGTTACCTGGATCATTTTCTAGAATTTTATCATTTGGTATAGATGACAGTCTTCCGGAACAAATTCTGTTGCAATAACCTACTGCTATATGCTAACTAATAACTTTTAGTGATTAAAAACTGCAGCTGGCATAATATTTTTTTATTGGTAATAAGAACTTGCACCTAATTTTATGAAGTGATATTTCTAGGCTTTATTCCGTGTTTAAACCTTCTTAGGTATGTTTTGCATCTTTTTTTGTGCTCTCACAAAGGCGTTCCTATGAACGGCTGGAGACTTCAGTAGTATTGTAAAATCCTAACAGAAAGCACTATGACTCTGTCTTGTCGTGTATTCTTTTTATTCATAAAAAGCCCACTGCCTCCTGTGTTATAGTTTGCCATTATGCTAATGTTTTAGTTTGCCTCCAATTACTGTGTTTTCCAGGAGAGATTTTTGAATAAATATATATATCAATCAGATTTTGAGAGGAATAGAATACACAGGTCTTGTTTTGGAAAAATTTGTCCTAGGTCATGCTTCTGGAATGAATAGCCAAGCAGTATTAGCATCTACTGTAAAGAAACTAACAATGAATGAAATAAATAAATTACCTAGCAAAGTCTCTGCACAGCTTTTCTTGATTAAAAAAAAAGTAAAAAAAGTAGGCTATGTGAATTTTCAAACCTACTTTGTGACAAAGTGGGTTATCCTTATTGTTTTGAGGTGTCATAGCCCCTTTGGTATTTAAACGTTCACAGCTTGCATCTTGTTTTGCCTCAAAAACAGGAAGTGGCTTAAAATAGTAGTCTCAAAACCACTGACTGTTTAAAATGTGAACAGGTTGTGAGTGCTGTGTTAATTAAAACCTGTATGAAGTTAAAGTGGAAACTCATCCAAATGCAAAAGGGAAAAAAGATATTAATTATTCTTTGGGCGTTTGTTAATGAATTTTACGTAAAAGCAAACTGTGAGCTTTTTAAATGAAACTTTTCATTCTGGGGAAGTGAGTAATAAAATCCAGAAAATTTCCTTTCAAAGATAGTTAGTGCAAATTAAGCCTGGATTGTGAGTTTCTGGAACTGGTTTTTTATTTATTTTGTTACTGTTTTTATTAGCCAGGCTTTTTGTGCTTAGAAATCCTTTTATTCTTCTTTTAAAGACTGACAGTGGGTGATCTAGTCAGAAAAGAAAGCGGGAATAGTGTCCTGCAGAACTGAAAGTTTATGTTGTCACTCTTTAAATAATGTCAGGTCTGATTGTGTTTTTCTTTCTCTGCAGTCCTGAGGATCTGAAGTCTAACCAATTTTTGACACTGGATCCAAATGTTACTGGTGTATACAATGGAGCTTATCCCTTTGGAATTGATCCGGTTAGTTTTATGCTTTTAAATTATCCATTTGTGACGATCAGTCATTTGTAAATTATATTTTGGTATGTGTATTAGGAAGGTAAACATACTATGGTATAAATTTCTGCTTGCGTTTTCCATTCAAAAAGAGCTTTTCCCTTAATGAGTCAAAGATTTAACTATTTTAATTAAACTCGTATTTCAGTTATGATCCACGTTTGAGGTAGAATTCTGGTCTTCAGTAGTGAAAGGGTAATATTTTATTTCTTCTATTATACTGTTCTTTAATGTTGATTTTTGTCTTCTTCAGATCTGGAATTTGGCAAGCAATCGTCTCAGTTTTTTAAATTCTTTCAAAATGAAAATGTCTGTGATTTTTGGAGTAACTCACATGACCTTTGGAGTTGTATTGGGGGTATTTAACCACTTGTAAGTACAAGAAGTTAAGATAATATTAACATTATAGGCTTTTTGTCAAGTCTTGAATTATAACAGTTAATCTGGTAAGGGAAACCATAACATTTTTTTTTAAACACAGAATAACAGTAATTGTGAAAATTGTTCTTAAAAAAAGAGGTTTTCTGTCACATACATAAGATGATGGATCAGTATTATGCAAAAAAAAATCTGAAGACATCGATTAATAAGTCAACTTTATTTCACTTGTTGCTAAATAGAAATACAAGCCTCTTATGGTCTTGATTTCCACTGAAATACTTGATTAAAATTTCACTGAATATGAAGAAATGAGTTCTGGATTCTAATTTCAGTCTTGCTCTTTAGAAGTGCTGGGTACTGTTCTGTTACATTGAAAACATGTTTGGGCCATGTATTATCTTGATCTTTCTTTGTAAAAGTTTTTTTTTTTTTTCCCCCCATTTTTATCTTTTAGGCATTTCAAGAAGAAGTATAATATTTATTTGGTTTTTCTTCCTGAACTTTTATTCATGATGTGCATTTTTGGCTACCTTGTGTTTATGATCTTCTTTAAATGGTTAGCATACTCTGCAGAGGACTCTACATCTGCTCCTAGTATTCTGATTCAATTTATTAACATGTTCCTGTTTCCTGGTGGTGAAACAGAGGTCTTCTACACCGGACAGGTTAGTAGTGTTCTTGCAAGCTTCTGAAGATCCTGTTGCTCCCTATGCAGGTAGCACTTTACCAGCCCGATGGTTGAGTGTTCCCCTAGGGAGGAGAATGCATCAGACTACAGGGAAATAGAATAAACATTATGATTAAATAACATATTTTCTTTTTAATTGGTTGTAAGACTTTACGCAGTGACTTGTGAAAATACCCAATTCTAGAACAAAATCTCCCAGGTTAAAATTAAGGCCAGAGATCAGAGTCTCATGTTTATAACTTTGATGCTTTTCTATGTGTTGTAAATAATCTTACTAAACTGAGTATCAGCAATGCCTTAATCTAGAACCCAGTCCTGAAGATGGTGGGCATCTGTAACCCAATTTAAGGGCCTAATTAAGTAAAATACTTACGTGCAAGTTCAATTTGGAGTACATGCCCACTGAAATCAGTAGTAGTCTTCTTATGCTCAAACAGGCCTTTAAAGGAAAATGGGAAGGCTTTTCTTCCTTTTGATTTTGTGATCTAATCTAATTTTTTTTTTCCCCCTCAAACAGGTTGCTCTGCAGAGGTTTTTACTTAGTATTGCTTTCCTCTCTGTTCCTGTAATGCTTTTTGGTAAACCACTTTATTTATATTGGTTGCACAGTGGAGGCCGAGGCATTAGAATGTACAGGGTAAGTATGGAGAGAGACACATTTTTTCAGTACAGAAGAATTCACCTGCTGTTCTATTGCATATAGAGTAATGTTCTTACTAGATAGTTCTACTCAGCTTGGAAAGTTTTTGACTGTAACACATAATAGTACTTTGTTCCTCTAGCTTTCTTTTTGCCTTTACCTGTGACTACTTTAAATAAATTTTAAAAATGGCACTGGCAGCCTGCTTGAAGCCATGATACGTTTCCATTTTGTAGAGTGGCTACAAGCTAATTCGAAAAGAAAGTGAAGAAGAACTTTCCCTGCTGAGATGTCATGATGTAGAAGAAGGAAGCAGTCATTCAGACAGTGGGCACAGAGAGGGCGATGCAGAGGAGGTAATGTTTTTCCTTAATCTGTAGTTTGTATGTCTTTAAAAGCAAATTAGAAGTGGCAAATCAAGAAGATAACCTGTACACTGAGTCCCTGGGAGTTTTCAAGATAATGAGCTGAGCCTTTACAAAGACCTTGATGCCTGAATGCAATTCACTTTTATTTGTTGCTATTTATTGTTATTTCTTGATATATTCAGATTGCCAGAGTAAACCACAATCGATCTGTAGTGGAGAACAGGAAGAGTGCTTTATTTGCATCTATAGACTTTGCATCTAAGACTACAGGTTTTATTAAATTGAAGAGTGGGATTAAAAATCCTGGGTTTTGTGTGGTTTTATGGATTCTTAAAGCTAAGACAAGAGGATGACTGCCTAGCTTCCTGTTAATTAATCTTGGCTTTTCATCCAGACAAAAGTCTCTTTATGTCTGCAAATTACATCGTGTGATGAGGATTATTGCTGGTGGGGGTTGGGAGACATGGGCAAAAATTCCTAGTCCCCAGATATTGCTGCTCTTTAGTTTGGGCAAATTTTTAAAGGCCTTGACTGATTCCATTGATTTCATGTGAATTGAGACACAAAAAATTGCTTCAGTTTCCCAGTGTGCTGACTATGTATGGTGCTTGCTTTACTGGGGTAGTACACTCTTGCTGCTTCTATATAAAAATACAAGAATTGCTTGCTTAAATAAAATTATGTCATAGTTCCATGCAAAGTAAGTGTTGGAACTTGTAGTAATATTAGTCTTGGAACTCTTTGTTAGCAACAAGTGTGTATTTAGAGTTTACAGTATTACTGTAGTTATTTTTCTATCACTGACATTAGTAATAACTAATCCTGCTTTTAAAGATGCAAAAATTGACATTGTAAACTTACAACTTCAATAGAGTGGGAATTATAACCATGGCTGGTTTTATTACTTAAGTTTTCAAGTATTAGATCATATTCCTGTTGTAAAATATAAATTGCATTCATTTTTATCTATCTACAAAGTAATTGGGAAAACTAACTAGAAAACTGTAGCATCTGATTTTTTTTTAATGTTGTCTCTGTAGTAAGGATCTTAAACATAGCAGATTTTTTTTTTTACTTGATATGAAATCAATGTATTACCCATTAATGGAATTTTTATTCCATATATATTAAGATTTGCAGATGAATGTTTTTTGTTCTCTCATGCTGTACTATGTTGTTTAAATGGATACAAATGTATTTTTCTATTTTAGTTTAATTTTGCAGATGTTTTTATGAATCAAGCAATTCATACCATTGAATACTGTCTAGGATGTATTTCTAATACAGCCTCGTATCTGAGACTCTGGGCATTAAGTCTTGCTCATGCACGTAAGTGGGGTTTGGGGTTTTTTTTGTTTGGTTGTTTTCATCTGTCTTGATTTTTAATGCTGGTTTGAGGGAGGCTAGCCTGTTGAAGTGATACTACTATGAAATTATCTTTTAATTTAAAAAAATTCCCTGTTTAATAATGATCTATGGGAAGCCCCCAAACTAAGATTGTGAGTTATCGTTTGGATTCTAGTCCTTTTCTTCACTGATTGCTCTGTATTGTAAAGAGGCTGATTATCTGAGCACAGTGTTACCTCACCCATTAGTGTATCAGTAGTCACAGTATCATTTCCTGTTTCCCATTGATTGACCAGTTTGGCAGGTATTTAGGCACTTGCTGAAGTCATGGTGTCACAGTGTAAAATATTGCTATCAGTAGATCTTACTATGAAGCTGAAATGTACCTTTAATTTTTTTTTTTTTTTGGGAAACTACTGGGGTGGGGGACTGCTGATAGTTGCCATGTTCAGCAGATCCTGTAATACTGTTTAAGCTAGAGTACAGGTCTTAGTGTCTCACTGGGTGAATGTGTGCAGTATCAACATTAATTTTTTTTTTTAATAGAGTTATCGGAAGTTCTATGGCAAATGGTGATGAGAGTGGGTCTTCGTGTGGATGCAACATATGGTGTCTTACTGCTAGTCCCAGTTCTAGCCTTTTTTGCTGTGCTAACAGTTTTTATTCTTTTGGTCATGGAAGGGCTCTCTGCTTTTCTCCATGCTATACGACTTCACTGGTAAGTTAATTTTTTTCTTTACACCGCTTTAGCGTATACTGGCTTGTTTAAGAGGAATTTTTGTGTCAAAATATTAGATGCCTTATCAAAAAGAAAAGTGTAGAATTCAACAGCTACTGTAATAGATGTATCTAATCATATTAAATAAATGGCTTGTTAGTTGAATGTAATTGTTCCTCTGGAATATTTTGAGTAAATTCAAATATTATATTGATTTATGATGCATATTAACCTCTACCACGTTCAGAGTTGATTTTGGTGCAAACTATGAGTACATTTGATTTATAGTATTGCAGCTTTTCATAATGTAGATGATCCACTATACTTATGTGGATAAGTATTTTTAATTTCAGTCTGGTTAGATCACTGAATCGCTTCAGTCTATTTTATTTGGTTCAACAAAATATTTGTATCAGTAAGCAAAACTCATCCTAAAGGGGGGGCTGCCAACCCTTAAGTATTTCAGTCCTTTCTAAGTCTTAATATCACCAGCTCTGCACATTGGAGTGGATTCAGAGAATATTTAGTTTGAAACCTGATGAAATTTACAGTAAAAGGCAGACATATAGTATACAAACATGAGGCAGAGCTACATGCATTACTGAGTGGTGTCCTCCTGGTATTGTATATTTGCAAAACAATTAACTGCAACTAACTCCAAAACAAATTAATCAGAGGGAAGTGAGAAATAAGCCATTACAGCCCAATGTCAGTGTGTTTTTGGGTCTCTTGAGAAACATGAAATTTGACTGGGTCTGTGAGAGGAAGGTTAAATAGCCACACAGAAAGCGTAAGTGATGGGATTAGGATTACTTTTGTTCTACCTCTTGTGTTGCACAGCTCTATCCCTTGACAACCGATCATTTTGGATTAACACACAGATACTGTTGTTTTTTTTTTTGTCTCGTTTCAGGGTGGAATTTCAGAACAAATTCTACTCTGGTGGAGGATACAAGTTTACGCCTTTCTCTTTTAAGCACATTTCTTTACATTTTAATAAAGATGACGCGGCATAGTTTGGTTGCTGTCAGCAGAAATGTTTGGAATTGTCTGCAAAAATCATGTGATTGGATCTCACCTATGAATGGTTTCTTGTAGGACAAAGTGTTTTTCACTGATTGCCTTACAATGCAGCCAAATAATTCTAATACATACCTCCCATAGAAATACATAGCAGATCTGGAGCATCTTGTAAAGTATATTGATATAAAATGTACATTTTTCTTGATAAACTAATGTTGTAAATTAATTTTATTCTTAAAAAAAAGTTGTTACTGCTTGTCCTAAAACCAGTGTAGGCTTTTTTTTTCTGAGGCTGCTTATTTTCTTGAATGATTACATTTAAGTTATTGGAAAGACTTTTCATCATATTAAACATTCATTACTAACCACATACTTAAGCAAGCTACCCTCTCATGCACTTTGGGAACAATTCAGCAATGCAACAGAAGCAATGTATGTTTTCTGTATCTATTCCAGAAGGATTATGAAATGTTGAATTTATACATAACAATGCAACATGCTCTTTTTTTTGGCCACATTTAAAATTGCACCGAAAATGTTAACTGTTTACTCTGAGTTCTGCCCAGAGTTATTACATTAATCTTTCAGAAGCCACAGTGATATTTAATGCTGTGGAAGAAGGCAGGATTAGAAGTGGAGACTGGAAGTTATTAGCCCTCTTATTTCCCTGTCGTGAGGAGCCTTCTGCTATGTTTTGTTCCGCAAAGCGAGCTGGGTGCAGCCCATCCCTTTGGGTTAGCTGGATGGGTAAAAACCTAGGAAAAAGTCTTGCACTGTCAGGGTGAGGACTCAAAAGAATCAAGCTGCTTGCTAGAACTTTCTATCCCGGGTTCTACTTCTACAGTGTGGTCACATGCAGAGTTTCTACTCCTAGGAGTAATTCTTGCACGGTGACTGAAGAATTGGCCTCGGTGCGTGTTTACGTGTGGCTCTAAGGACATACATAGTGTTATTTACCTTATGTTATTGAACCAAAGTTTATACCGAATAGGTGGAAAGGAGTCGTATTATTTTTTTGTATCCGTGTAAAAATGGGGATATTACCATAATGTTTTAACATCTGTGCCATAAGAACAGCATAAGTTAAATTTTGCACTTGTTTCGAACTAATTCCAAATAAAACCTCGTTTGCGCTGTTCCGAGCGGGCCCTTATGTTTGTACGTAGCCCTTCCCCTACACCTGGCAGCGCAGGAGCGGGACAGCCCTGCCCGTTCCCCGGTGTCCCCTGTGCCCCAGAGCTCCCCCGTGTCCCCCGGGGGCGGGCTCGGTGCTGAGGTAAAACAACG